CCTGCGCCACCCCCTCTCTCTTTTTCCCTCTCTGAAACCTGAGTCTGAATTCCGAAAGAGAGAGAGCCTGAGCCCATGCCTTGCCTGAGAAGTTTCGTGCCCTGCACTGCCCTGCCATGCTGCTTTCTCTCTAGAAAGCCCTCCCGTTTCCAGCGCCATGATGCTGCAGTCCTCGTCAGTCTTCGAACAGAGGGAGAGAGAGGGCAGTGTTCTTTTTTCTTTTACTACTAGTAACAGTGGCGCTGCAGCAGTAGAGCAGCAGTGGCAGTGGGAGAAGGAAGAGAACTCAGCTGGAGTGGGTGGGCCGTAGCTTTCCTGAAAGCAAGACGTGTAAACTATTTCCGCGCTGCCATCCCATCCCATCCCATCCCACCCCTGCGTCAGCAGCGGCACTTGTCACTCTCACCTGCTCGCTCTCTCTCTCTCTCCCCGCCGCCACCACACACACCACCGTCGCCGACTCGCCGTGTGTGCGGGTGCGGTGGTCGGTCGCGGTGAGGGGAGGAGGAGGGTGGGGTGGACAACGACTGCTGCCATTTACCGTGACAGTGGGCCCGGATCACGGGCGGGTCCGAGCGAGGGCCCGCGTCCGGCGGGCCTGATGGGGGCCCTGAGGAAGCAAGATCGGTCCCGAATGGACGGTGGTATCTTTCCTCCTCTCGCACCAACGGCCCATTTGCGTGTACCAAATGGGGAATGAAGAACCAACGTGTTGGCAAGGAATTGCTGGCCTGCTGTTTGTTTATTAAAAATGGCAGTCCTGTCCTGATCACGAATTCATAACGGTGGGAGGTTACATGCTGTTTTGGGTGTGTGTAGGCCATGTTAGAGAGAGAAGCTATTTGATGATTTGGAGGACCTCTTTAATGGCTTTCTTCTTTCCTTGCCCGCTCTTAATTTCTTTGTCCCTTTCTTCTTTTTGCATCATACGGAGTATATGGTTAGATAGATCGAATCGCACAGCTACGCGCATCAATCGATACAAATGACCGAGATTCTTTTAAGGGACAATGCTAGGCGTCAGTCGGCCGATCAACAATAGCAATAGGTTGTAGCACCGGCCGTCCGATTGCCCTCCGCATGGCAGTTAGATGCAACACTAGCCGCGCATGATCCAACCAGTCCTTCTTTACAATGCCTCCATGAGCCCCGCACATGCCCTCATCCATAGTAGCACCCCCGTCAATAGCAGCTTTGCGGTAGGCACCAATCACCATTCACAACTTGACTCATAATATCGCCTGGCCGGACCCACATCGTGCTTCTCCGAGATAAATAGCTAACTGTAATTGAAAGCATCAACGACTCATCGTGTTGGCCGCAACACTATCCCACGTCGATAGTATCTTTTCAAACTCGCCATCAAATATTCCTCCTTATCAGTTGTAGCTTCTCTACCTCGCCTTCAAAGCACCCCCCCCCCCTTCCGATTGTAGCTCTAGCACGCCCTTGCCAAAATTCCCGCACACCCTCATCGTAACACCGTCTCACGCAAATTGCAGCTCCCGACCTTGTTGGTCACAAATTGGTACTCGTTGGTTGCAACTCTGGACTTGTGGCATCGGTGCATCGCCGGCCAACCCTTTGCGGTAGCACATGTGGCAGACGGTGGTTGGCCTTGCATAGATAGGCCCCTTAGCGGGCAGCAGCACGGTAGCTATCGCAACGGTGGTTCCCCGGGTATTCCGATGACGGCAGGAGAAGATCGCAACGATGATTCCCCCAGGTATTCCAGTGACGGTAGGAGAAGATCGCAACTAGGTGTTGTGCACGGTGGTCGATGCAAGAGTCTGTCCTGAGTAGGGGATATATACGAGAGGGAGATGGATGATTCAGGAAGAAGAAGAGAGGGATAAGGTAGAACATGTGTGACACCCCACCAAACACGCGGGCTAAGTCGAAGTTGTGAATGTGGCTTCGCTGCGGCCGATGCAACGCGTGATCGATCGATAGATTCATATCGTTTACCCGAAAAAATGGGATAACGTTACGCGTTGGCCAGCTAATCTTTTGAAGATATCGTCCAGACCGTGAGTTGTTGGATCCATCTTGAGATAGCCGTCCGATCCAGCTGACAAGGTTTGCAACATAGGTCATGTTCGCTAGCAGGTTTCGCTCAAGGATTTGCATAATGGCACTCTGCAACATGAGCCATGTTGCACTTGGAGGGGTTGCAACATGGCCATGTTGCGCTCGGAGGTTTGGTAATCACTCTTTTTGCAGCATGAGTCATGTTGCCACCGCGGCATATACTCCTTAATCGATTTGCCTCCACAACCCTGCAACACCGACATCGTCGCGTAGCCCTCCAACCAGACGACCC